TGCTTCCAGTTTTGGGCTCCACAATTCAAAAAGGATGTGGAGAAGCTTGAGAGAGTCCAGAGAAGCGCCACGCGCATGATCAGAGGTCAGGGAAGCAGACCCTACGATGACAGGCTGAGAGCCCTGGGGCTCTTTAGCCTGGAAAAGTGCAGGCTCAGGGGTGATCTGATGGCCACCTATAAGTTTATCAGGGGTGACCACCAGTATCTGGGGGAACGTTTGTTCACCAGAGCGCCCCAAGGGATGACGACTAGGTCGAATGGTCATAAACTACTACAAGACCGTTTCAGGCTGGACATAAGGAAGAATTTCTTTACTGTCCGAGACCCCAAGATCTGGAACAGCCTGCCACCGGAGGTGGTTCAAGCGCCTACATGGAACACCTTCAAGAGCAAACTGGATGCTTATCTTGCTGGGATCCTATGACCCCAGCTGACTTCCTGCCCTTTGGGCAGGGGGCTGGACTCGATGATATTCCGAGGTCCCTTCCAGCCCTAATGTCTATGAAATCTAAGCTTGTCAACCTGACCCCTAGTTACCCAATGCAGAGCAAGACCATAAAAATCTGTTGTCAAATTCACAGGTTAGTTTTGGAGCAATTAATTTTGCTTGATGAACAATCTAAAAAACCAGTTGAGGGACATTAGTTAAGTAATTCATGCAGTTTGGCACAAGTGGAGAAGTCATATATTCAAAATAAAAAAATATCTTCAGGGTTTTGTTTTTTTAACAAAAATGTTTCTAAAACAGGCTTGGTGATGACTTCACCAAAAACTCTGGAATACAGCTGGCTGATTTGTCTAGCTGACTAGCTCCAGTTGTTAATTTAGGGAGAAATACAAAAGGCCACTTCACGTAGACAGAATTGCGATTCTGGTGCCTATCCAATGCTGGGGTGGGTGGGGGTGTGTGTGTTTTTTTAAGTGACCCTAGGAAACTTCTCACTTGGATCTGAATTTTAAAAATCCATCTGTTGAAAAAAAATTAAGGAAATGTTTTTGAGTGGGGAGAAAAAGGAAATGGGATGCTTTAAATTTTAACTACAGAGCATGGTTGTATGTCTGTGCTTTTTCAGCTGTGGTATAAATGGAAATATAGAGATTTCCTCAAGAAACTAAAAGCTATAATTTGAAGACAAGTGATCATAGTTTTCTGTTATTTTTCTTTTGTGTCTCTGAAACGTCAAGGGCAGACCAATCTCAGACATTGTTTTAATAACCTAATTATATTTTGAATGAAATATAACTACCTTAAAAAACAATTCTTTTAAATATCCGTGTTGACAGCTCAAATACAAATTGAATACAAATCAGAGAATTTCATAAAAATTAAGACAAAAAATGTTCTTAGCCTCAGTATCTTAGTCCGTAGAGCAATTAAAGATTGCTTACCATCTCTTGAGAAGCTTGTTCCAATGATCAAGGGGAACTAGAATACAAAATAATGGTTTTCAATTTAGCATAAAATTAGCATATAAGGATCATTACAATCAGAGAAAGTACCTCTGGGCAGCTCTAGTTAGAGAGAAGAATAGAGTTAACGGCCGAGGGATTTTGAGTCATTAGAAAATGCTTGAAATCTCTTATTGCTTGATTCTAATTAGCTGTAGGAAGGAACATTAAGTACTGAGATTATTAATAAGAGTCACCAGATTAAAAGGAAGAGTATTTTTTGACCTATCCCCACTCAGCGCATAATGCTGTAAGGAAGAAATAAAATAAACCCTAAAGGGTAAGGAGAGACAGTTTATTTTACTTTATCCCCCCCGCCCAGTTTCAGCCTTCAGTGAAGAGTCCCTTTTGCCACACCTAGATATTTTCAAAGTTAACAGCAGACTGCTAACCCTCTCTCAAGCCATGCAGACACATAAAAACCTGTAAAGCCGGTCGGTGCATGAACAAGTTGGTCTAACGATACGGCCCGGCAAGGTTCTCCGAGTGAAATCTTGTATTAGACCAGCTGAGCAGCTGGAAACAAAAGTTTTAGGCAAGCTTTCGGGCAGTCTTGAAGAAGCCTTTTCTTTTTGCCTCTACTTGAACCATGTCTTCATTCTTCAACGCTGGATGCACACCTTGCTGGGGTCCTCTGACCCCAGCAGTCTTTCCTGCCCAAAGCAGGGGGGCCCCGACAATCTTACGAGGCCCCTTCCAAACTTCTGTGAATCTGTGCAGAGCGACTGAGCATGAAAGCTTGCCTAAAGCTTTTTTTTCCCCCCAGCTACTCAGCTGGTCTAATAAAAAATATCCCTCCAAGAACCTTGTCTGCATGTATCATCAAGGGATTTAAAAAAAATCTATTTCATTCAAGTAGTCGGGTTCCCCCCCTTTAATCTTTTATTTTAATCGGTTCATCTACACACCTCCCGGCCTTTCCTCCTACACTTCCTCTCTCTTCCACCATCAACCCTGCCCCACCCAAGCAAGGCAACCCCCCACGCCGTTTGGCGCCGCACGCGGGCGACGGAGGAAGAGCCGGGGGTTGCGCATGCGCGCGCCTCGGAGCGGACGGCGGCTGCGGGCCCCTTCCCCGCCCTCTGCTCCGAGCTGCGCGTGCGCGAACGGCACTAACCTACTGCTGGTCCGGGCGCGCGGCGCGAACGCCTTCCCGCTGGGGAGGGGCGGGGCTGGGGGGGAGATTGGAATCGCCGGGTCAGGACGTTCCAACCGTCCCTGAGCGCCGCTGAGCACGCCAAAGCGCGCGGCGCCAGCCTCTTCCGGGGGTGGGGTCAGGAGGGGCGGGGCCTCCTTCCCACCCGAGAAGAAGCAAGCGGAGTTCCTGCGGGCGACGCAGCAAATTTTAGGGCGGCTGTACGTAGCCCCGCCCACTCCCCCGCTCTGGGGACTGCGCTGCTGTATGCCGCCTGCCTCGGCTCTTTCTTGCTTCGGGGCGGCTGGGGCAGCAGAACCCTGGCTCCTGGACTTTCTGTTCAAGGGCAGGTTTTCATGTCCCAAGTCAAATCAACCAAACACCATGTATCTGGGTCCATGAAGGCAGTTTTCCTTCCCAGGAATAACTTCTGGTGTGGTTTAGTACCCACCGAGGTGTTGGGGTTTAAAGCTGGCTTGATGGAAATGAGAGGCTTCTCCCTAGCTTGCTCCTGCGGCCATATGGCTGAGGGCAGGTGAAACTTGGGGACATCCGAACCCCAGGCCTCCGGGCTTGGGCCTGCACATAGGATGCCCACCAAAAGACTCTGGAAATACCTGAAGCCCCTGGTAGGGGTGGAGGATGTTTGCTGGTTGTAGGGCCACTTCCGGTTCTGGGCTGACTCATGGATTTGGACTTGATTAGGTTTGGAACAAAAAATTTCTTTAAAAAAAAAAAAAAGTCTGTTCCAAATCCATGAACCAGTCAAGAACAATGTGTGGCCCAGCTACCAGCAAGCATCTTCCACCTCCGTGCCCGTCTGGGCCTTGAGATGCTTCCAAATCCTCCACGTTGGTCTAATAAAAAGATTTCAGATTCAGCCAAAAAACCTTGTCTGCCTGTGTCCTAAGGCCAACATGACTACAACCTTTATCCCTTCAAATCATTTGGCAGGCATCCTGCAGTCAGGCCCAAGGCAGGGGGCTTGAGGTTCAGATGCCTCTGAGTTTGGCTTGCCCTCAGCCATATGGTGCGTGGGCAGTTGCCACCATCTACAAAGATGCACAGGTTTTGTGTCCTTGCTTATGTCCATGTCCCTGTCTGTGTCCCCCAACCTGTGACAGGATCTGGAGAAAACTGTGCAGGAGTCAGCAGAAGTTAAGGCGTGTTGGGTGTGATGCCCACAGGAGGACACAGTGAGGAGGAGGCAGTGCCGGGGGGTTGCAAGCACCAGCCAGCCCCTGCCTGTGCCTCTCACCTGCTTTCAGGAAGGAAGCACCTGGCTCTGGGCAGCAGTTAGCTCAGTAACCTCTTGGTGCTGGTGCTGATTTCTGCAGAGTTTAAGGTTGCATATGGTCCCGTTTATTTTGCTTTGTTAAATTATTTCAGATACAGTTTTTGTTCTCTCTCAGACCACTTTCTACTATTCAGTTCATTTTGTTCTTTTAAACTGATTCCTATTCATCTGTTGCTTTCTTTACATTAACCCTTTTTTTCTCTCCCCTTTTCTTTCCTTTTTCTTTCTCTCTCCTCTCCTCTTTTTTTCTCTCCTCTCCTCT